GTGAGATGATTAGCATGTTTGAGTAGTTGAGGTCCAGACTTATGCCATGGTAACGTTTCCAAGGGCTTTGCTAAAAAAGATTGTTCTGAGACCTGTCATTGTTTTCTGTCTCTTACTGCTTACCGTTCATATACTCTAGAGAGCAGAATTGCATGGTAATAATGCTTTACAGGCCAGTACATCAGGAGATGTGGAGGAGGCCGTAGGAGGGCAACAACCCAGCAGCAGGACCGCTACCTCTGCCTTTGTGGAAGGAGGAACAGGAGGAGCACTGCCAGAGCCCTGCAAAATGACCTCCAGCAGGCCACAAATGTGCATGTGTCTGCTCAAACGGTCAGAAACAGACTCCATGAGGGTGGTATGAGGGCCCGACGTCCACAGGTGGGGATTGTGCTTACTTCCCAACACCGTGCAGGACGTTTGGCATTTGCAAGAGAACACCAAGATTGGCAAATTCGCCACTGGCGCCCTGTGCTCTTCACAGATGAAAGCAGGTTCACACTGAGCACATGTGACAGACATGACAGAGTCTGGAGACGCCATGGAGAACGTTCTGCTGCCTGCAACATCCTCCAGCATGATTGGTTTGGCAGTGGGTCAGTAATGGTTTGGGGTGGCATTTCTTTGGGGGGCCGCACAGCCCTCCATGTGCTCACCAGAGGTAGCCTGACTGCCATTAGGTACCGAGATGATATTCTCAGACCCCTTGTGATACCATATGCTGGTGCGGTTGGCCCTGGTTTCCTCCTAATGCAAGACAATGTGGCTGGAGTGTGTCAGCAGTTCCTGCAAGATGAAGGCATTGATGCTATGGACTGGCCCGCCCGTTCCCCAGACCTGAATCCAATTGAGCACATCTGGGACATCATGTCTCGTGGGCTGCCATTCGTACATCTTTGTTAGTCGAACGCAGTCAGCGGTGAGTGCCGTCAAATTCATGGAACTAAAATCGTCTACAAATTGGCACGAACACCGCTGGCCCTTACCTTCTCCTCCACTTCGACGATTCGGCTAAAATCGAAGTGCGTTCGACAATTCGAACACCATGTTATACTGTGCTATTTGCACGAGCATTTGAATGGGACTTTGTTATTTTTCAGTGTAAAATAGACCGAAAAGGTCGGTCGAAAAGGACCTCCATCTAACTTTTAAGCCACTGGAGGGAATTGTCTGATTTTTGGATATGTTTATATTTGACGTATGCTGAGTTAGAATATGTAACTATTAATTTATTAATATTGCATGTGTACTTTTAAAGTTATAGGAATTGTATAAAAACTGTATTTTCCTGCCTGTGATAATTACATTAGCCCATTGTGTACAGTAATTCTATCACGGGCAGAGGGTAGGATTTCTGCTGGAATGAATGGGAGTGTTTGTGTTGTAATGTTTTGATTGGCTATTATGATTGTATGTCCTGTGTACCACTAGGTCCACGTGGGTGGTAACCTTATGTAAAAGAAAGTCCTTTGGTACTCATTAAACAGATCTTCTTGACCTTCAACACGTAGTCTAGTCTTGTGATTGGAGGGGACAGCTATATTCACAGCTATATTGCTATACTTGTACATTCCCTTGAGCTTTAATCACTTAGCTCTTCTAAGAGCTGTTCCTGATCCGCTCTCCTGGAGGAGAGGTCTTTCCCACACAGTCCTGGATGTCGGAGGTGCATACAGGGTGGAAGGAAGAGGTCTTTCCCACACAGTCCTGGAAGACAGAAGCTGATCCAGGGTGGAAGGAAGACGGCGAGACTACCAGTTAAGCTACGGTGTTGTGGAGTCTGCAGTGGTTGTGGTGTCAGGTGCGATGCTTGTGGTCCTCGGCGCAAGCTAGGAAGCGTCCACCAATGGAAGCTACTCTGTCAGAGTACGGGTGAGTTTGTTACACTTGTGTATTAGGCAGGATAGATAGGTGGGAGCAGCATTATGTAGAGATTTGAAAGCAAGAACCAGCATTTTAAATTGAGCCCTGTATCTTACAGGAAGCCAATGTAGGGACTGACAGAAGGGTGAGGCGTAGGAGGTGCGGGCGGACAGGAAGATGAGCCTCTCCGCTGCATTCATTATTAATATATTAATACCAAAATACAGGAAGAATTAAATTATATGTGTTTTATATGTGTATAATATGCTAATCCAGTGTTTTAATTAACTTATAATATATTGTACATGTATAATACATGTATAATCATTTGTTTAAATATGTGATTATTTTATTTTTAGGCACTAGGGAGACTTCCTGAACACTCAGGCAGTCCCCCTGCAGGCAGTATCATAGACTACTTTGCGGCCATGTGATTTGCAACGTCCATCGTGATCACATGGCCCTGGAGGGTTGTAAGGAAGCAGGGGGACTGCCTGTCTCGAGAGGCAGTCCCCCCCGGACCGGGATTGCCATGGATCGCTGGTCTAGGTAAGTGTGCAGGGACAGGGGAGCTAACGATCGTTAGGGAGTACTTTGCCGCACTAACGGCATTTAGGCTCACTAAATGCTGGGTGGCATAGTACGCCCTAATGGCGTTAAGTGGTTAATCGCAGGGTTAACAGCGAACCCCAGTGAAGTCAATTGGGAACCCAAACTTTTGGGCACTAAAATGGCTCTAAAAAAAGTCCTGGAAAGGGCTAAAGGGCTGCAAAAGGAAGTAAAATGCGGGTAAGAGGAGGACAAGTGCCCTGCAAACAAAAAAATTAAAATACAGCTGAGCCATAAAATAGCACTAGATGGAATCTTTGATTTTAGCTTTGGAAGAACATAAATCAAAATCTAAAGCTTGGCTGTCAGGAAGATCACCAGAATTATCTATTTGAGAGAGGGTTGGAGCAGTGGTGTATCCTGGTTTTGTGCTGCCCTAGGCCACACACTAAATACACACACACACACAGTCAGACACACACACACAGTCAGACACACACAGTCAGACAGAAACACACACACACACACAAACACACACACAGTCAGACACACACACACAGACACACACACACAGACACAAACACAGTCAGACACAAACACAGTCAGACACAAACACACACACACAGTCAGACACAAACACACACACAGTCAGACACAAACACACACGCAGTCAGACACAAACACACACACAGACACAAATACACACAGACACAAACACACACACAAACACACACACACACACAGTCAGAGAAACACACACAGACAAACACACACACACAGTCAGACACACACACAGTCAGACACACACACAGTAAGACACAAACACACAGTCATACACACACACACACACACACATTTACACTTTTTTTTATCCCCCCCCCAGCCTCCTTACCTTTGGGAATGCTGGGGGGCGGAGGGTTCTCTTTAACCCTGGCGTCCAGTGGCTGCCGGTCGGGCTGATGGGCTGGCGGCACTGGCGAGGGAGCACTTCCTCTGAGCACTCTGCTCAGCTCCCTCGCGCGTCGCAGAGTGAGGCTGGGAGCCGGAAGCATGTCAGTTAGCCGCAAGGCTAACTAGGCATTTGCCTTGGGCATTTGGGGGCGGCTTTTTTTGCCGCCCCCTGGAAAATGCCGCCCAAGGCAAATGCCTTGTTTGCCTCGCGGCTAATACGTCCCTGGGTTGGAGTGCAGGGTATTCTCTTTCATTGTTCAAACTGAGCTCAACTCCTGATGCATGAAGAAAAGGCCTTCACAAGTCTCTGCTATTGTGTACATAGTTTATATTAAGTGACCGATAGGTTGAGGAGGCAGTTATCGTTGTGGTGTAGGTGGAAGCGGCGGTGGAGGTAGCCAACACTGTTTTTTATTTGTTTGTTTGTTGTTTTGTTTTTTCATTGGGGTAGCCTCCAACATATTGGGACATATAAAAAAGGAAACATTTGCAGCCTGCGGTGCATTTCTTGCAGTTCAATAACGCCATCAGGTTTTTAAAACTGTCTGTCTCCACCAGACGGAATGACAGGCCAGAAATTTAGAAATGCTGGCATTCAGAGCCAGGGATAGTGGGTGGGTAGGGGGGTACTTCCTCTTTCTCTCCAGTGTTTGGGAGATGGACAGCTGAACGCTTCCATGGGACAGTGTGGAGATGCCGGACAATTGTGTACCTGGCCTATGCTGGTGCAGGAACCCACCCTCCGAGCCACTTGTGAATGACTGGCCTGATAACCGTGGAAATTACCCCAAAGAGTTTTTTCAAGGAGACATAGAAGCGGGATAGTAAGGCTGAGAACGGCGTCAGCAGCACTGGCCATGTTGGTGGAGTACTCAAAACAATGCACCATGGCACACAGGTCTCGCATGGAGGCCCACTCATTGGTGGTGAAGTGGTGCTGTTCCGAAGAGCGAATGACCCGTGCATGCTGCAGCTGAGACTCCACTATCGCCTGCTGCTGCTCGCACAGTCTCTCCAGCATGTGCAAGGTGGAGGATCTGAGGCAGTACTGCCAGATGTCTGCCAGAGAGTGGGGAAGAGAAGGGACCGGCACAGGGTCCCCCTCAATCCCATACCTATTAGTGAAGATCCGTTCGGCAGAGTAGCTGTCGACATTATAGGTCCCCTAGCCAAGCCTAGTCCCTCTGGGAAGAAGTACATTCTGACCATCTTGAACTACGCGACTCGGTACCCTGAGCAGTATTCGGGCAGAGACTGTGGCTGAAGCCTTGATGCGAGTGTTCTCCCGGATGGGTTTTCTCCAGGAGATTCTCTCAGACCAGGGCACCCAGTTTACTGCCGGAATGACCCACCAACTGTGGAGATTGGGCACATTAAACCAATCCTGAGCTCCCCTTACCACCCCCAGACCAACGGCCTGTGTGAGCGCTTCAACGGTACATTGAAGAAAATGCTCCATACCTTTGCGGTGACTCACATGGATTGAGAAAGATTCCTGCCCCATCTCCTGTTTGCCTATTGGGAGGTGCCACAGGAATCGACTGGATTCTCCTCATTCGAACTGCCATACCAGGGATCTCCTTGGAGTTCTCGGTCCCTGGGTGCGGTGGGCAGTAGCAGGCGTACTGTCTAGGGGACAGCTGCTCTGCTTTTGTACCCTGCTCTAGGAGGAGGAGGTGGATGTGGAGTAGGAGGTTGAGGAGGCGGTGACCATGGCGGGACTGATGCATTCGGATGTCTGCCCTATCAACTTTCGATGTTACTATCTGCTCCTACCATGGTGACCATGGGTAATGGGGAATCAGGGTTCGATTCCGCAGAGGGAGCCTGAGATACGGCTATCACATCCAAGGAAGGCAGCAGGCGTTCAAATAACCCACTCCTGACGCAGGGAGGTAGTGACGATAAATAACAATACAGGACTCTTTCCAGGCCCTGTAACTGAGTGAGTCCACTTTAAATCCTTTAACGAGGATCTATTGGAGTCTGGTGCAGAGCGACTGACCCGTGCATGCTGCAGCTGAAACTCCACTATCGCCTGCTGCTGCTCGCACAGTCTCTCCAGCATGTGCAAGGTGGAGTTCCACCTTGTGGGCACGTCGCATATGAGGTGGTGAGCGGGAAGGATGAAGTTACACTGCAGCGCAGACAGGCGAGCAGCAGCAGGGTGGGAACGCCGAAAGCGCGCACAGCCGCTACAGTGAAACTGCGAATGGCTCATTAAATCAGTTATAGTTCCTTTGATCGCTCCATCTGTTACTTGGATAACTGTGATAATTCTAGAGCTAATACATGCCGACGAGCGCTAGGGAACGGCAGCTCCGCTTTTGCACCCTGCTCCCTCTTATGCTTTGCTGGTGCCTCTGTGCGACCACCGCCTCTTCCTCCAAACTGCACATGTCACTCGCATGACCTTCATTCCATGTTGGGTCTAGGACCTCATCATCCTCCACATCATCTTCCACCCACTCCTCAACCCTGCCCTCCTTGCCGGTCTGCACACTGCAGAAAGCCACAGCTGTGTTTTTACAGCATGTAAAGTCTGCAAAAGACATATGGAAATTGTTTTAGAATTGCATCCAGGCAACAGTTTGCCCTATAAACTGACCTCTCAGTTTGACTTGTGAGGGTATTGCCCCAGAATTACAATACTTTTTAAGTACCTCTTAGCTATTGATAACTGGTTTAAATATAGCAGCTTGTTATCTGGTAGTTTCTAGTGTAGAAAATATCAATCTGTTTTCTATCACTTAGATCTGTTTAACAAGTGTTGTAGGTGTGATACAATATTACAAGTGACCGATGTAGTAAATTCGAATCAATGTTCCATTTGCAAAAATAATTCTCGCCCATCTTCTGTGGGTTATTGCATTTTTAAGATGTAGACTTATTGTATCACACTAGCCATGCACAGATAGATTGTCTGGCACGTTGTTTTGGTGTTTGGTTTTTAACGTTGTAGTTGTGTCTTTACACAATATAGAAATGTATATTAATGTTTCTGTATATGAAGCGATCACAATAACACTTATTTTTCAGTTTTTAAAAAAGTCTTTAGACTTTCTTGAGAAGCGGAAACTAGCCAGTGTTGCACACATACCACAGATATGAAGTGCACACCCCAAATGTGCTATTTAGCAGCAAATACATTTTAATTTTTAAAACTGCGCTGTAAGCACAGTATTTGACGGATCTATTTGACTCTCAGATATGAAGTGCAGCGCAGGCCGCAAATGTACTATTTAGCAGCAAAAAAATTTGAATGTGTAAAATGCGATGTAAGCACAGTATTTGACGGTTCTATTTGACTCTCATATATGAAGTGCATACCCCAAATTTACTATTTAGCACCTAAAGAATTCGAAATTTTGAAACTGCTATGTCACAACAGTATTTGACGGTTCTATTTGACTCTCAGATATGAAGTGCACGCCCCAAATGTACTTTTTAGCACCTAAAGAATTTGAATGTTTAAAACTGCAATGTAAGCACAGTATTTGACGGTTCTTTTTGACTCTCAGATATTAAGTGCAGGCCCCAAATATACTTTTTAGCACAAAAAAATGTGAATAAGCAAACTGCAATGTCACAGCAGTATTTGATGGTTCTATTTGACTCTCAGATATGAAGTGCATGCCCCAAATTTACTTTTTAGCACCTAAAGAATTAGAAATTTAGAAACTGCTATGTCACAGCAGTATTTGACGGTTCTTTTTGACTCTCAGATATGAAGTGCACCAAAGGCCGCAAATGTACTATTTAGCACCTAAAGAATTTTAATTTTTAAAACTGCAATGTAAGCACAGTATTTGATGGTTCTATTTGACTCTCAGATATGAAATGCAGACACCAAGTGTACTATTTAGCACCAAAAAAATTTGAATTTTAAAAAATGTGCTGTAAACACAGTATTTGACGGTTCTATTTGACTCTCAGATATGAAGTGCACCGCAGACCGCAAAGGTACTATTTAGCACCAAAAAGTTAGATTTTTTTAAAACAACAATGTAACAGTAGTGTAACGGACCGTTTTGCACACAAGGGGTAAACACCGTTTAGGCGATCGTCCCCCTTTCCAGAGATGCAGGCACAGCTATTGTAGAACACCAAACTCTCGAACCGCAAATGCTCCAAACTCCCGAACGGCATACAATATAGCACTCCAAACACACGAACTGGAACCATACGAATCGCTGCTAGCAAACGAATAGGAAAAGCATCCAAGCGGCATACACTCCTAGCAATCAGTCTCTATCAGCGTTCTGTAAATCCCCCCCAAAGACGAGACAAGGCTCCGTGTTACGGGGCAAACAGTGGTCTGTTTTACTGAGGGCTACCTGCCCAGTATTTATGCAGGTCTCCCACCTGGTGGATACTCCCCTAGGGGACCAAATGGGAGACTGTGACAAAAGACAGACAAGTAGACAAATAGGACACACAGTCACATTATATTCCCACAATGCATCCCCTCTGCCCTGGAGATAATTGAGAAGTAATTCAATTATCTCCCAAGACAAAGGTAAATTGCCATTATGCACGTGGGGATAATAACACAGGAATTACTATTAAAATACACTATGTGAGACACATAACATTAAAAGCATACATTTAACAAATCCCCAGATAGCTCAGGTCTGAGCGCACATTATTAAGCGAATGGCGCTCAGACCACACAAATACAGTTTAATCGCCATGGAGCCAAAGTCTTTACACAGTCAGTTTCCTATCTGGGGTATAACACATTCAAACAAAACTACCGAACATCGGGCCGTTCGTGCACTTTCACCGAACAAGAAGGGAGCTTTGGCGGCTTCAGCGGTGTTCGCGCAAAACTGTGTCCGATTTCAGTTCCATGAATTAAGCGAACACCGCTGTGCGTTCGCATGTTTAAAATGGCCGCGACCTCGTGTTCGTGATATGAATGGCGGCCACCCAGAATTCGTCAATTAAGCTGCGGTTAACCGCAGCTTCAGGGAGGCTAATTGCCGGCACACTCCAGCTCCCAGATGGTCCAGTCATTCGTGCGGTTGTTCGGTAGATTGAATCTACCGAACACCAGGCAGAAAAGAACAAATACATCTTTTCTGCAGGTAAAAAGATGTCTTTTAACATGGGGCCATAGTCTAAGGGCAACAGGTGAGCAACCAGGCTTCTCCAATGCAATGTGGCGAGATTGGTCTCGTCACAAGTAGTATTTAAGGGTTTTATTGGACTGCAAGAAATGCAGTACGCAAATGTACAATTTAGCACCAAAAAAATTGCACTATTTAATAATGCCTAGATGTTGCCCACTGAGCTACCAGGACAGGATTAAAGTAATGTGCTTGGCACACATGCAGTTGCAAGTGCACTGCACTCTCTGTGGCACTGGGCTCAGGGCAGGGTACAAAAATGTAGTATAGCACCCACAAAAATGATCGCTGTAGTTTGAATAATTGCTGTAGTTTTCAGATTCAACACCAGAATTCTTTCCTAATCTGTCCCTCACAGCTGCAGCATCCTCCCCCTACACTAATAAGAGCTCAAGTGCTTGCGGTGCTACGTACCTCCAGCTTATGAATAGAGGCTGGGTCACATGCTGCACTGGCCAATCACAGCCATGCCATTAGTAGGCATGGCTGTGTTGGCTTCTAAGGTCAAACACTTGTTGATTGGCTGCCCTGCAGCCTTTTAAAATGCGCCATTAAACCACCGAACTCCAACCCGAACATACACTGATACGTCCGCGTTTGGGTCCGGGTCCAAAAAACGTAATGTTCGGTACGAACCCGAACATTACAGTCCGGGTTCACTCAACTCTATAAATCATACATAGGTCGGAAAAAAAGAGCATTTAAAACATGACTAGGTGAACACATCAGAAACATCCAGAAGGGACTCTGTACCCACAACATATCTAGGCATTTCGATGTTGTCCATGCGAGAAACCCAAGTGTTGGGATCAACTTGTTCTTCATGCATAATATTACACTGCTGGGTTAAGCGTTCCATGCACCTCACTTTTGGATCAAACCTTCGAGAAGAGTCTTTCAGTGATACACAGACAACATATTCCAAACTGGGTTACTACCAGTGTATTAAGGGTCAGGCAAACATATTTATAGACAGAAGTTACAGTAAATGCCACGTGACAAAATAACATCAGCTACGCACTATATTGCTAATCCAGCAACCAACAACATGTATTTCTGGTAGCTAGTTTAAAAGATCATGAGGGTCTGCAACAGGTTCACTTGAAGTTGACTTTTTTACAATTGCTATTTCTAAAATAGTCTGTCCATCTTAGCTAGTCAATCATTAAAATTCTAACCCTTTCAGTCCCTTATTTTATTATGTAAGAGTAACTCATTATGAATATTATATGGGTGAAGGTTAGGTGTTGGGTGTCAGGTAAGGTTTAAAAAAAAAATGGGTTTTGTTCCCATCATTATTGGTGTGTTCTGTGAATCCCTTCCCATTAATTAACTCCCAACTAACCACAGGACGTAATTCAACTTAAAATAATGGAAATGGGAAGATAGTAAGCCTGATCATTCATACAAGTTTAGAAAATCAATAGATGGTATTCAGCTTGCATCAAAATCACACATCATTTACCCAATTTTACACCAGTCACTGGATCTGCTGACACTTCCTTTCTCTCCAGCTAACTCTACAAAAAGGAAACAAAAATAGTTGGTCAAATATTTGAGCGTAATCCAGAAAAAAAAAAAAAAAAAAAATCTTTTAGATAGCATACGAAAACAGTCTGTACTCCATAGGTTAGACTCCATAAAATGTATGACCGGTGCAAGATGGCTGACACCAATTCAATAACAGGTTCCACATGTTATCAGCACTCCCTTTTATTGCTGGACTTTAACCACAAGGCTCCGTACTTTCAAATTATGAGAATGTTATTTTGAGAGCTCGTGGCATTATACAACACTTTCAGGATTCTCCAAATACTTGTGAGACACAGCATCTCAGTATCATTGGCCAGCATAGGGTGTGAACAAACAGGCACAATTGCAACATAGTTAGTAGAGAGTTAGCCAGAAGAGATTGGTGATAAGCAGCACCCAAGGATCAGACAGCACAAACACTCCAGTATGGTCTCTACAACAAACAAACAGAAGCCTCAGTAACACAAAATTAATTTCTAAAATTATTAATTAACATAAATATTTGAATAGACAAGATGAGGCAAGTGGTAATATGCATCATGCATATTAGAATAGAATTAATACTTCTATATCAAGTAACTACCGTATAGCTTAATGTTAAAGAGGTTATAGGAAGGTCTGTCCTTCGGCTAGAAGTGACTCTGCATGAATTAACATATTTTCTTAAAATTACACTCTTGTGGTGTGACATTTATTGAGGAGTGATGGGTAAAAAAAAAAGTTTTTAGTCTTTTGGAGATAAAGAGAGCTGCAACTCCTTTGACCATTGGTCAGTATACATAAGAGGAAAATAAGAGAGAGGCTCATTCAGTGCCTTTGAGACATTTCATGGAATGGTTGATTTAATTCTAGTGGACAAGTAGTGGTGGACATCAAAAGAAAAAGTCTAGTCATATAAATTGCACAGGTCATGTTACAAATTTGTGAAACAGTATTAGTGTAATTAAGGAATAAGACATTGAGATTCCACTGTGGTTGTCTAGGAAGCAGAGTCAGCACAGAAATGTAAATGGTGAGGGTTACCTGTTCAGACCATGAGATAGAATTGTTATGAGTTAAAAGCAAAAGTTGAAGAAAAACATGTCTAGCCTTGAGTACATGTTAGAGGCATGAGACTAAAAAAAGTAATCCCATGAAGATGGGTGTAACGTCCTCCAGCAGTTAAGCAAGTGGGCCTGATGCAACAGAAAGGTATTATCTAGAGAAGCATCTAAGAACATTGCAGTCACCTCCTAATAAGGTAACACCCTCAGTAAAGTGTTCAAGCTTACAGAAAGATTTGATGCAACCACAAGTCTGTACAGGTACATCGACCTGAGAGGTGCAATCTCTGGGTAGAAGAGGAGCCCACAGCACAGTGCACCCCACCTGTTAGTCACTTCATGTGTAGCATGGCCTAGTGGAACTCAGTAGAGTATCTTCTACCTGAACTCACAGGAGGTGCTCACTAAAAACAATAAACAGCTTTCCGCTTTGTGTAAGCCACACAAAGAGGGATTAGATACACTAAAAGAGGGGTGCTGGGATGTAAGATTTGTAAAATTGGTTGTAGGATACAAAAGTGGCATAAGATACACAAAGGAGACACACAGGTGAAGATGCACGTTTTGTGGGAAGGGATGGGTGTGGGTCCGGCCTAATGCATCTTTGCCAGTGTAGCTAAAAATCCTTGCACCAGACCCAAATTTAGCATATTGATTTTGGAAAATGTAACCAAAATAATACCCATCTAGCCATTGACAAAAATAAACCTTGTTTCATCAGAGTTTGAGCTGAATTAGCTCTGCATTTTTTTGTTGTTTTTTGTGTTTTTTTTTTTTATACAAACCACCTAAACTTTAAGGCAGCAGAACTTTGTCAAAGTCAATAAGTGTTTTTCTGGGGCATTTAAATGATTGACATTAAAGGAGAGAGGCTTGTGAACCTAACATAAAAACAGAAACAGTGAAAGTAAATAATAAATTTAGTAGCCAGAACATTTTGTCGCTTCTTAGTTGGCTATTGTCATTTTTGCTATTACAGTAATGGAGGTTGAGACGAGGACATAGCTGGTGCAGTCCAGTGAACTATGATTGTGGCAGGAAGATCAGTGTCTTTAAAAAAAAGACCACATCTTAAAATGGGGCACTAGATAATGGTGTGCCCTTGAGGTTTACAAGAGACACAAATAGGAATCCCCCTCTATATTTGATGTTACGATCAGAGAGACAGAGAGTGATGAGTACTATCCAAGAGAGTCCAGAAGTTTGCCAAGAATGCTGTTTGAAAATCCTTAAAATACAATTTTCATATCAAAATATTTTTAAATATCTAGACTAAATGATCCTTTCCAAAAATAAGCCTTTGCATTTTTTATTTGTTTTATTTACTCACCACACAACCAACACATCAGTGTATCTTAATTTTCTGGCTTCATTTCAGAGGACCAAGAGTGAGACCTAAATTGATACTCTAAGAATGTACTCAGTACAAATCAGCGGAGTGGTTATGTTGCCTGGATTTCAATGTGTTGTTCCCTGTTTTTTTGACAATAACTGTGGATCTACATGGCCCTACTTCTTAGCCACATTGAAAATTTAAAATGTACACTTTTACATTAAAAATATAATTTCTGACAACTACAATGGTCTGCAGCTTGGACCATTCTAAAAACCTATATTTAATAAAATAATAAATATTTCTGGCTGACAAAGATGCAGTTGCAGATGATTCAGTGTGTGCTTTTGGAAAAGGTCCATCTTGCTCCACCCAAGGTGCAATGAGATACGTGAAGTTTATTTATTGACAAATTGAGATAAACAGAGGATCAAGCAGAAGTCCATCATGGATAGTGCTGGCCTTGGTACACTAATAATCGTACTCATTACCTGCCTCTTCATCTACATCACATGGAATGCAACCTACAGGAACCGTAACCTTCCTCCTGGTCCGACTCCCCTACCGCTGATAGGAAATCTACTTCAGATCAAGTGGGGACAGCTGGCAAATTCTCTAATGAAGGTTTGAATTTCAAATATTTTCTAAATTCACTTTTATCAATATATTCTCTGTTAACAGATTTTGTTAATCATGTATTATTACATTTATTTAGATTAAATAATCATTAAACAATCACACATTAGAGTAAAGTGACCTAATGGCAGTGACATGTTTAATGGGTTAAAGGGACAGTCCCATGTAGGAGCACAGTGACCTAATGACAGTGATATGTTTAATGGGTTAAAGGGACAGTCCCATGTAGGTTCAAAGTGACCCAATGACAGCGACATGTTTAATGGGTTAAAGGGACAGTCCCATGTAGGTTCAAAGTGACCCAATGACAGCGACATGTTTAATGGGTTAATTAAACAATCACACATTAGAGTAAAGTGACCTAATGACAGCGACATGTTTAATGGGTTAAAGGGACAGTCCCATGTAGGAACAAAGTAACCTAATGACAGGGACATGTTTAATGGGTTAAAGAGACAGTCCCATGTAGGAACAAAGTAACCTAATGACAGGGACATGTTTAATAGGTTAAAGGGACAGTCCCATGTAGGAGCAAAGTGACCTAATGACCTAATGAATCTCAATGTTTAATGGGTTAAAGGGACAGTCCCATGTAGGAGCAAAGTGACCTAATGACAGGGACATGTTTAATGGGGTGTTAAATTTAATTACCACCTTCATACATGTAGAAATGATTCTGATGGTTTCATTTCTTGTCTCTGTTTCACAGTACAGGAATCAGTACGGCTCAATTTACACTGTCTATTTTGGAACAAGACCTATAATTGTCCTGTGTGGGTATGAAACTGTTAAAGAAGCGCTTGTTGATAGAGGAGAGGAGTTTGCTGGTCGGGGAAGAATTCCACCAATTGAGAAACTTACACAGGGTTACGGTAAGAGAAACTTTGTCTGGCTTATTCACTGAAGGGAGAATTACCAGAAATTCAAAGCAAATTCAAACATTTAGGTCAAAACAGCAAAATGAAAGAAATTAACAAAAACTCTCCAAGTCAGTTATCATTCCAGTAAGGCCATTTTGACTGTTTTTAATTTTTGAATTTTAAATTCACTTTGAAATCCAGGCAGTTCTCACTTTTCTGAATATATTTATAGTGCATACTGAAAGGTTACAAGTGTATTTGGGAGAAAATAATGAGATCAAAGGGCTTAGGAGACACAGCAAAACTCCAAGATCAAAGCAGACGCACATAGACACAGAGGATCTAATAAATCCTAAACATTAAAAGGTGGAGGAAAAATGGATATAGCAAAGCAATGCAAATGCACAAATTCACAGTAAGTATATACAATATTAATAAGTGAATAAAATCACAATGTACAGAAATAAAAAGATAAAAAAAGGGCTGCGGCAATAGACAATATAAAAAAATAAAATCGATTTTTGGAACAAATAAGAAATAAGTCAATTTGATAGTCCTCACAAATAATAGTCTCTTAATAGTAGATGTTTTAGTCTTTAGCAAGGACTTTTCTTTGGGTAGGGCAGCTGTCTTTATTTTCTTGTTGATGTCTATAGAAAGATAAAAAATATTCTCAGCAGATCTGAGATGGAGTGGGGTTTTAATCTTAAAACCTTGGTGCCCAATGGTCTGAATGTAGATTTTGATCTATTCAATTTTATTTAAAATGACACTATAGTCACCAGAACAACCATAGCTTAATGTAGTTGTTCTTGTGAGTTTATTCATTGCCTTCCGGCATTTTCATGCAAAAACATTTTCATGCCCCTAGGGACACCTCCAAGTGGCCACTCCTCAGATGGCCACTGGCGGTGCTTCCTGGCTCAGTGCTGCACAGTAGGCAGCACTGCCGTTCAGCGTCTTCACACTCTGCATGGGACCACTGAATTTTCCTCATAGAGAGGCATTGACTCAATGCCTCTCTATGAGGAGGTGCTGATTGGCCAAAATGTTTTGGCCCCACCTCCTTGACGATTTTAGCCAATCCAATGCTTTCCCCAGGGAAAAGCATTGGATTGGCTAAAAATCAGCAATTCTGATGATGTCACCAAGGAGGTGGGGCCAGTGCTGGTGGACGCGCGGCGCTGGAAATAAGGTGAATTTTAATTGCTTTTAAAGGGGCTAATGGGGGGGCAAACATATATGTTTGTGTTCCTGACCCTATAGTGTTCCTTAAATGCTATTTTCATTACCTATTTTCTCCTAAGGTTTTTTTCTTTTTATGTATATTCTTGCTGTATAGTCTCTAAAGGGTTTGGAAGGATTCCTCTTTTAGGCTTGCTGCCTTTTCTGTTGATTAGTGCTGAACCATTTTTTGTATAAAATCATGATGTAGTATAAAATAAAGTGCACCAACGTACAAAGATTAAAACGTAGCTCCAAAATAGTAATTGAAAAATAAAATCACAATATAATTTGAAATAAAGTACACCTATGTGCAAAGAACACAGACTAGTCCCAAAACATTAATTGACAAATATGATAAATATACTGGATTTCAAAATAGTGAGGCTGAAGTGCAGGTGCTGTGATGTTCATTGCAAGAAAATATTTTAGAGAAAGGATATAAAAAAATGCATCGTGCATAATACTGTTTTGGAATATATGTAGGCAAAAATAAATATAGAATATAGCGGATACTTTTCTGTAAAACACTTTCTACATGAATAAATAAATATCATTTGTGGTCCCTTTTTCATGGAATTGCTGCAAACACTGCTGGCCAAGGCAACTGACTTCACATAATTTTACCATGAGTTACGTTTTTCAGGAATAAGTTTAACCAATGGAGAACGATGGAGACAACTGCGAACCTTCACTTTTAAATCCCTGAGAGAATTTGGATTTGGGAAGAAAACGTTTGAGGAAAAAGTTCAGGTGGAAGCTAAAAGTGTGGTGGAAGAGCTTAAATTACTGAAAGGTTTGTACCAGTTTACATAAATTCCTCCCCACTTCCTCCCAGACTCACACACTCTGGTACACAAGGAACACACAAAATGGCTTGAACACATTAAAAAGAAATGCAAAATGAGGCTCTATAAATGTAAACCAGCAAAACACATATGGGATACGGCTGTGGAAGCTAAAAAGAACATAGACAAAACATAGTGTAATATAATTTTAACAAATAATATGCGCTGTACAAAAATGCACTCACAAGATGTAGACGTATTATGCACTCAAAGGGTGCCTCTCTTTTGTTTTGTTTTCTATAAATGTAAACCCTACCCTATAGCGGCATTGCAGGATGGAAAACGGTCAGGGGCTTTAGCCAACAGGTACATTTTTATTACAATTCTGTTACATAGTTACATAGCGGAAAAGAGACTTGTCTCCATCAAGTTCAGCCTTCCTCACATATGTTTGTGCTGTTGATCCAAAAGAAGGGAAAAAAAACCTTCTTGACCCCAAAATGTCAGTCTGATATCTCCTTGGATCAAGCAGCTATTACCCCACTAATTAGAAATAATTAGAAAATGTTATGTTTTTGGAAGTATTTATCCAATTGCTGTTTAAGCATCTATATAGACTCTGATAAAACCACATATTCAGGCAGAGAATTCCATATCCTTATAGTTCTTACTGTAAAAAAAAACAAACCTTTTCTTTGCCTTAGATGAAATCTCCTTTCTTCCAGCCTAAATGTGTGACCTTGTGTCCTATGAATAGCTCTGTTTATGAATAGATTTCCAGACAATGGTTTGTACTGGCCCCGAATATTTTTGCATAATGTTATCATATCCTCTCTGAGGAGCATTTTTTCCAAACTAAAGAGATTTTAATTTTTTAACCTTTCTTTGTAACTAAAATGCTTCTTTCCTTTTATCAATTTTGTAGCTCATCAGGATCATCATCCCTCTTTAGAACAGGTACCCAAAATTGCACAGCATATTCAAGGTGTTGTCTTACCAGCGATTTATAAAGAGACAAAATTATATTTTTATCCTGAGAATTTATGCCCTTATTTATACATGACAAAATCTTACTGTTCTTAGCAACTGTAGATTGACATTGCCTAATTTGTTGTCTATAACAATTCCCAAATACTTATCGTTTGTGGTTATCCCTAATTCATTACCATTTAGGGTGTAAGTTGCTTGTGCATTCTTGACCCCGAAGTGCATAACTTTGCATTTCTCTACATTAAATTTCATCTGCCATTTTTTTTTAATTCTTTATTTTTGAGTGCATGAAAAAAAAAATAACAATAACATCATTGTTGTAAGTTAGATATAGACATACAATGCACAATTTTTCTTTAGGAAAACAAGTGATATGAGTTATAGGTAACATATGCATACAAGTTTTGCAAAAATGACAAATATATGTAATAAACAGGCTAAGGCATGCTATTCTAGACTTTTGGGGTGAAGCCAACTCGGTTGCTATTCTTGTAGGCTGGGTGGGGTGCTCCGTAACCCTGAGCTCGGGGGGTCACGTAGATTGGGCAGCGCCATGGTCGTGATGTATCTCCCAATCTGCCTAATCTGCCTGCATTGGAGATTGGGTATGCTAGTTGGGAAGTAAAGTAAGGGGGGAAACTTACTGCCCGCTCCCTCCATAAGGACTTGGATTAGGTGTGGGGGTAGTATGGAGGTGGGATGCTGTTTTTTGTATTAGTACATTCCTTTGTGAGATTCGTAGGCTTGAGAAGTGTGGGGCCAAGTCACTGGCTACCCCCCTATTATGTGCAGTCTGCGTTGGTTGTGTTGTGTTTCAGTGGTAATACTACACTGTCCAGTAGATAAGATCAGAGTGTCACGTATATACCCTTAGTTTACAATTACTGCAGTGTGGTGTGTTGTCATATATAAGTAAATTAAATTCAACTAAATTCAAAATAAGTAAATTAAATTCAACTGATACGGGTACACTTCAAGACCGGAACATATTTACAGAGTGAGGCTATCAAATATTTACAGAGCAATGTAGCAGTTAATGGTTTGGGAGGTATGAAGTATTATAAAGGAACAAGTCCTTCAATTTTACATACTGATGAGTGTCATCGGAAACAGTCATAAACAGTCTCTAGGCAACCGTTGCAAGCACCATGGGATCGTTTTGCCGTGTACCAGTGACACAAAGATTCATATTTTGCCTTAGCTTTCGCCACAGTAAGTGCTTGTATATGAGCAGGTGTGTTTGTGCCCAGGTATGCCAGGGATCTGCCATTTTATTATTATAATAATTATTGCCATTTATATAGCGCCAACAGATTCCGTTGCGCTTTACAATACTATGAGATGGGGATTTAACTATAAATTGGACAATTACAAGAAAACTACCAGGAACAATAGGTTGAAGAGTACCCTACTCAAACGAGCTTACAGTCTATAGGAGGTGGGGTATAAGACACGTTAGGACAGGCATTTTAGTGCCCAGCCCCCTAATCTATCTAAATTCATCTGCAGCAAAGCAATATTGTGCTCACATTTGATTACTTTACAAAGTTTTGTGTCATCTACTAAAACATGGCTTTCAATGCCTATTGCAAGATCATTTATAAATATGTTAAATAGAAGCGGTCCCAAAACCGAACCCTGAGGGACACCACTTACCACTTACAGATTATTGCTAATAACAAAGTTCTTCCCAATTAATTCCTGCATATTATCCCTTAATAGCCCTTCAAATATTTCCCCAGTCACAGAAGTTAAGCTCACAGGTCTATAATTTCCAGGCAAGGATTTTGAACCCTTTTTAAATACAGGAATGACATCTGCCTTCCTCCAGTCCTCTGGTACAATACCTGAAACAAAAGAATCTTGAAAGATTAAATACAGAGGTTCACTTATTTCCCCACTTTGCTCCTTAAGTACTCGTATGTGAATACCGTCAGGCCCCGGAGCTTTATTTACATTCATTTTCTTTAATCAGTACCTTGTCTCGAGTCATCCAATCACAAGTTATCTGCAAGTTTTTTGCAGCAATCATTTGCATACCTCTTTCCATAGGATTCTCATGAATGTATAGAATGTCCATTTACCATCAGTGTTTTTTTCACTAATAAGTTTATGCCAGTCGATATGTTGTAGAGCTGCCCTTATTTTATTGAAATTGCCGTTTTTTTAAATTATACTTTTTAGTATACCCCATGTGCTTTTGCTTTTTTAGGTTTATTAAAAAAATTACCATATTGTGATCACTGTTTCCCAAATGCTCCCCTACTTGAATGTTGGTCAAAAGATCAACATTGTTTGTTATAATGAGATCCAGACAAGCAACCTTTATAGTGGGTGCTTGTACCAGTTGTGACATGAAGGTGTCATTTAACACATTCAAAAACCTGATTCCTCTTGTTAAAGTACTAGTTACTCTATCCCAATTCATGTCCAGGTAATTAAAATCTCCAATAATTAACGTGCTACCCAGATTTGCAGCTTTCCCAATTTGCTCTAACAGCTGTTCTTCCTCATGAATATTTATATTCGGTGGTTTATAACATATTGCAACCAATAATTGATTTCTCATCGTTTGTCCCAAGCAGATATCTACCCATGTAGCTTTCACATTTTCCTCGTCACACTCCACATGCCTAAGATTTGACTTTAACTCATGGTTGACATATAAACATACCCCACCACCCCTTTTGTTTTTCCTATCCTTCCTAAATAACGTGTACCCATTTAAGTTATCTGCCCAGTCATGTGTCTCATCCCACCATTTTTCTGTTATGACTATTATATCATATTGTTTAGTGTATGCTATTGCCTCTAGTTCCCCCATTTTGTTATATAGGCTCCTTGCATTAGTAAGCATACATTTAATATCATCATGAGTCATTTGTACTTTTTGTGAATTTTCATCAATATTACATTCCTCCTCTGTTCTGAGCTTTCCCATCCACCCATCTCCACCACCCTTACACTGAACTAAAGCCCATCTCCTTTCTATCCTATCTCCATTTTCTAGATTGCTTTGACCCTCCCCCCCACTATTAGTTTAAAATCTCCTCCAACCTACTATCCATCCTATCCCCCAGCATTGCAGACCCTCTTCTGTTTAGGTGCAATCCATCACGGCTATACAGGTTGTACACAAGCGCAAAATCGTCCCAGTGCTCAAAAAAACCCAAACCCTCTTTCTTGCACCAAGACTTCAGCTATGCACAGAACAGGTAATATTTCTGAAAATATTATCTTGGAGGTCCTTTTCTTTAGCTTACTTCCTAGGTCCCTGAATTCATTCTTTAGGACCACTTGTAATATTAAACCTAAACCTACTGCATTAAAACCTGGCACCCACATTAATGCCCCCACACCGTGCTTTGTAATGTGTAGTGGACCCCGGGTAACCCGACCGGTTACCTCCACTAATTTGCTTCCTACAGCCATTAAGGAACCCTTACAACAAGCAGGCATTTATTTTCCCCCCAATAACTGGACGAAACACAGTCCTGGAGGTTACGACATTGACTGACTTTGTTTATTTTGTTACACATGGGTTTACAAACACAGACCCCTACATAAGGTCTCCAACACAAACAACAGGGGTTTCAATCCCAAGAAGCTGAAGGGGAGGAAGGGCAATGCATCTATGTTAAACTGGGCTGGCAGTGTCTTTGTGGCAACGTCCTGCTGGGACAGGAAAAGGGAGGGGGAAGGGGGAGAGACACAGACAGCAATACATTTCACTTCTATACTACAGAGCTGCTGCATATACAGGCACAATACATGAAAGGCATAAAAATACATGGGAAAACACAGAGGGACCACACGATACAAGGGGAAAACACACGAATATGCAGTGGGCAAGGTACTTAGTGACGGCAGTCTGTCACATAATGGACTCTAAACATGCATTAAAGTGCCACTGTCACAAATTATGCAATAAAGTGATGAATAAAGGAACACCATAGTGTCAGGAATACAAGCATGTCTAGTTTTTAAAATTACCATCAAGGCCACAGACCCACTCTCTTTGCCTTAAAAAGGTGATTTTACCCCACCTCTGTGACTGATATTTTCAAATTTGGTGATCTCAGCATTTTGGACATTTGGCTTTCAATGTGACTATATCCCATTGTGGACTTTTTCTTTGTTATATTTATTATATTTATTTTCATTGGTTTTATGCTTCTATCCCTCATTTAAGCTGATGCTGCCTTATTTTAATGGAACTATGTCAGTGCAGCCATTACCACCTATATACTGTTCTTTATATACAGTGTTACACTATAGTGCATTTCTTTGTTTTCTGCACTATTCACACCATTTAGTGGAACCATTCATGGAAGAGGGTTGTGGATTTCCCTTAGGATCCAAAAACCGTCATTCACTAGAGCCCAGTATTTATCTGACTTTTTTTCTGAGTGCACACTATCCACTATAATACACTTCTCTATATATTGTAGAAATTATCTGCACCATTATTTTTCCCTTATCTATTCCAGATTCCTATTGATTACACCGTAGAAGTCATATATTAGCTCCACACACTAGATGTATGTATCGAAATCTGACAGGCACGCGACCGCAGCACTGGCTCTACCACCCCTTGTTAAAAAATAACCGTTCTAGCTCAAACATACTCTGTAACACACTCACATTTTCAGAATTCTTGCCCATTAACCACTGATCATTTCAATGTAGGGAAATCCCTGGATGTAACCAGACTGTTCATGGATGCATTGTCCAATGTCCTTTTCTCAATCATATTTGGGAACCGTTATGAGTACAAGGATGAGAGGTTTGTGAAGTTCTTGGCAGTGGTAGAGGAGACTTTTCACATTATGAGCTGCCCATGGGGACAGGTAAATGTCATTATTTAAGAGTTTATTCCATACATTTGCATGTACGTGTCAAGACAAGTGGAGCTAAGTGTTCAGAAAATGCATTATAAAAAGGAAAACCTATTAGAAACAGTGTAATCTATAAATACTTGAATGGTTAAATTGCATAGTTTATAAGCTGAAATATAAATGTAATTGTATTTATGTTTGGAATGTATAAATGAGCACACACTGATGAGTGCAAGCAAACTTGACAGAAAAAATAAGAAGGAAAACATGCTGATTAAAGTTAGAATTTATTGTGGTATATTTACAGAAAAGGGAAAAAAAATCCACTCTAAACAAGAAGGGAACGATTATAAGGCATTCTTCTTTACAAAGGTGGTTGACAAAGAAAAATAAATAAGGTGGCAGCTTTGAGATCCCTAATCAATTGGTGGGGTGAGCAGGGTTTGACCTGTAGATAGGGATTTTAAAGTATTACAAAACCAATGAATACGAGAACTTAGAATGGACAAAGGCTTCGAGAAACTCCATTGCTTGTCCTTTGATAAATCCCCTATCAGGTCTCAAAATAGTTACATGGGTATATCAGACTGATCCCACGCATAAGGGCATTCCAGAACCAAAATAACAGCAAATTATCTCTACATGAGAGATACAGCAGCCCCAGATAAACATTTCAGCATTCTTTGGATTTAATCAGTGAGATGTAGCAGTCTAGTGCCTATAGGCACAGAAAAAAAACGTGTCTGCATTTTGGTTCTAGACTGCCCTTATGGATGGGATGAGTCTGATATGCTTTGGAATATGCAAAAACTATTTTGAGACCTGAGCAGGGATTTACCGAAGGGCAAGCTACTGAGCTTCTCTTAGCTTTTGTACATTTTCAGAGTTCTCATAGTCTTTGTTGCTATTAAACTACTCAGGTCATCAGGAGAATCTACTAAACAAGGACAAGCTGATAATAAAAATTTTTTTAGGACACTTGAATTTAGCCCATTTGTCAGTTTGTCTTGGCAGAATATTGGTGCTGTAAACCCGATTCATAAACAAAAACAAAGAATAGGAGAACGCTGAGTTTCTGTATTGGGTTTACAGCATCAAAACTCATTTCTCTTTTTTCAGCATAGTCTTCTTAAATGGAAGATATTTATGGGGTAATCTTATTAAAAAATTATATTTTATAAAAATGATCAAAAATTAATCAATAACTTTTTTCTTAATATCAAAAATCAATATTTTGGCACTGTTTCTCCTTGGTTGGTTTAACCCCTTAGTGACCAGACCATTTTTCAATTTTCTTACCGTTAAGGACCAGGGCTATTTTTAAATTTCCGCGGTGTTTGTGTTTTTCTTCTTACTCATTTACTGTACCCACACATATTGCATATCATTTCTCACCATTAAATGGTCTCTATAAAAGTACTATTATTTTCATCATATCATATAATTTACTATAAAAAAATATAAAATATGATGATAAAATATTTAAAAAAAAAAAAAAATTCTCTAACTTTGACCCCCAAAATCTGTTACACATCTACAACCGCTGAAAAACACCCATGCTAAATAGTTTCTAATTTTTGTCCTGAGTTTAGAAATACCCAATGACATGTTCTTAGCTTTTTTTTTTGTGGAAAGTTATAGGGCTATAAGTACAAGTAGCACTTTGCTATATTTCCAAATAATTTTTTTTTTTTTAATTAACGCTAGTTGCATTGTAACACTGATATCTGTCAGGAATCTCTGAATAAGCCTTCAAATGTATATATTTTTTAAAAGAAGACAACCTAAGGTATTAAACCTGGGGTATTTTGACTCTTTTCATGCAACCACCAATCTATGCCAAATGTAAAAAAAAAAATAATAACTGGTGATTTTTATGACAAACATAGCAATTTAAGAATACATGTACTGAGAACTTTAAGGGTTACTGCCAAAAACACCCTAATATGTTTTCAGCAACATCTCCTAAGTACAGTGATACCCCACATGTATAAAGACCTTATTTGGAGGGTGTACATTCCAGTTTTCCAACTTGGAATTTTCACAGCTGATCATCTTGCACCCATGTCCTATTTGGGACATTTTTTAAGCCAGCCAATGTAATTTACCCCCATCAAACCATATATTTTTGAAAAGTAGTCACCCTAGAGTATTTCAAATGGTGGTATTGTAACACTTTCCATACACTAATTCTACCACCAGTCTTCGTCAACCTTTTGGGTAGTCATTTTTCTAAAGAGAGGGAAACAAAGTGCGGATGAGATATGAAGGAATAGGATCAAGGGAAAAGGTGGTGGGGCTGGAGGACCAAAGCAGAGCAGAAACCTCTTCTGCTGTAGCAGGTGCAAATGAGTGTAGAATGGTGGAGGGTGTGGAGTTGGGTGATGTGTTGGTAGGGGAAGGAGAGAAATTAGCAATCTCTTCTCTAATTGTAGAGATTTTCTCATTGAAGTGAGATGCCATGTTTGTGGCAGATAAGGTGGTAGAAGGAGGGGGAGTGAAAAGGCAAAGAAGAGCATCAAAAGTGTGAAATAGGTGTTTAATAGATATAATATTATATATATATATATATATATATATATATGTAATTTGAAATGGTGTTAATGTTGAATCTTCTTAATTTCTTCTTATCTTCAGTTGATTGATATATATATACACGTCTTTTGTATATATAGTCTTGGGCCAAATGCTCGCCACAATAATATATGTCTTTATTATTGAAAAGTACTAATACGCAATCTGACTTACGGTTTCTTCAGGTTTATTCTTAGTTACAGATACATAATAAAACATAATAAATGATGTTACAGGATAATGGACATTCAACAGCAGATGGTAATTGCTGGACTTCTTTTGCATCCTTACATCTTTACATCTAGAGAGAGAGCCAGAGAGAGCCCAGAGCCAAGAGCCCAGAGAGAGAGAGTGACCTCATGTCCCTCTGTTACTATATAGAAATGCTCATACTAACGTCAGCATTTAACTCTAGCCATATAAGGTCAAGACCCCCACATCCACATTCCAGAGCTCTCGGACAAAGAAAGCCTTGTGACTTATACCATCTGTTACTTATGTCAATCCACACATCCATATATATAATCAATAGAAACATAGAATATGCAATATTCTACATTCCCTCTGTTTATGGTTTGTTTTAAAACCATAACATAATGTCACTAACCTGCCCATTCATACACCACTTGTGTCACATTCATTGAGCATAGAACAAGATGTAGTCACAACTTTCTATTATATGAGAG